AGAGAGAGAGAGAGAGAGAGAGAGAGAGAGAGAGAGAAGGAGAGAGAGAGAGAGAGAGAGAAAGAATTCACCAGGCAATGACCAGCTAGCGAATTATATGGCCTTGAGCTACACGTAGGTGTAATGCCTACATAGCGACTGGTAAAATGTAATGACTGAGAGACATAAATTAAATTGCGCATAGCATGGTGGAATTTTTTGCCCTGATCATCAAAGCACACCTTCTGAGGTTCCTGGGGGTTAGCGTATAAGGATATACACAAGCCTCTATCTACGAAAGTCTAATACTGCCAATGCACCACTTCAGATTTTTATCGCAGTTAAAATAGATAATTCGAAGCACGGGAAACACGAACAGTCGGCCGCATATGTATAACCTTGTCATACCCTTTTTAGGTAGTCGGTCGAGAGGTCTTTTGAATAATCCTCTCTATATTTAGTCTTCCCCCTGCGTGTAAGCCTCAGACCATATAGTGCAGGTTGTTTAATACGTGTTAATCGAATTTTCTATATACAGCATTCGATTCAAGTGTACGGTTGAGATTTGATGCGTTTAAGATTCGACGATGGAAAATTAGTTACAATTTTTACTATGTGTAGTAGAACTACATAGTTGATGTATAAGGTCATACTACCGGTATCAACCAATTCCATGGATCCTTGGAAGTGGGATGTTAACTCTTGTCTTTTTTGGAATATTCAATGACATCAACACCGTTAGCTGCTGATTTCGGCCAAGTTAAATAAGAGTTTATCATGCATCCTTATCATCACGTGCTGTCGTGTCATGGACGCGTTGGACAACTTTCTTTTCGCCCAATATTCAAAGCTACTACGGAGTAGTTTTGACAACCTTGACAACCCAAATCCCGATGAGTTTGGATCGTATCATTCAGGACTCCGACGAGGACGAACCCTTTGAGGGGGATAACCTTCCCACATCTGCCAACCCTCTCCACCCCTCCGAGCCCGCATTGCCGCAGGAATATCAATATGCCCCCGCCAAACAGATGACCCACAATGCAGTATATGAATATGATCATGCTCCCGATGAAAGCATGTTCCCACAGCTGAACGTTAATTTCGATGATTTCCTCCAATCGCAAGACAAGAGCCATTCAATGCTATCGTCGTCGCAACAGCGGCGGGAGGACAGATGGATCCCCTCAACCAGTGAGGGGGGAAGTGGGTCGGTTGGTATGATGTGATAGCAAAATTTGAAGCAGAAATAAAATAAGAGATCAATTTACTGATACCAACGATTATCCAGGAGCCATGATGACGGAGATCGGACTAGCGCAGAGAAGACTCCTGGACGAAGACCCTTCAAGTGCAAGCCTACCACCCCCTTCTACAACCGCGCTGTTCCCGACAGAATCATTCCAGTCAGCGCCGTTTCCTACCCTACCAAGTCACTACTCATATCAAATGGCCCAACCAGAGAGTAGCAGCTTCACACGTAATCCAGCACCCATTAGCGTCTACGCCGGCACAAATCAGTCTTTGTTGCCCACCAGACAGGGTATCTATGACTTGAATCCACCTGATACCACCCACTCAATGGCTTATGCTCCGAAAATTGTTCCTCACCAAGCTACCGAGCCTTCCATGGAACAGGAGAACCTACACCCAAACCCGCAATCAAACAAACCCCAGGAAGCTTCACAGCCCAAATGTCAGCAGACGGGTTCTTACTCCCCCCATGACACTGAGCCTCTCTCCTCTATTGCATCCATGCGATTCAGCGAAGCAAAGATTACCACAGCTGGAACCAGTCTCATTTCCCCACACCAATCCCAGTCAAGTACGCACGACGAGCTCGCTCTGCCAGCTATTCTACCAACTATGCCAGACTTCAAGACGCCCGATGCAAACAAGAAGCGAAGACGGCCCAAGAAACAACACATGCTAGAGAACGATGAGGACGATGAGCTAGCCAATTCTCGAGACCACGAGTTCAAACAGACTGGCGCAAACGGTGCGATTGACCTTTCCAGTAGCGAAGAGACTACGGAAGATAACACCCCGGCCTCGAGTAGAGTCTCAGACGAGACTGACGAAGAAAATCTAGAAGCAGCCCCCAAGCTAGCAAAACCAGGACCCAAGGAGCCGAGAAAGAAGAAGGTCAAAACAAGCAAGACGACGCCCGCCCCCGAGCCTGACGACGACGACGTGATCTGGATAGACACGAAGCCTCTCAGCGTGGATCCTTCAACCGGGAATGCAACCCCGCAGACAGAAGCCACAGAGGCCCCAAGACGGGATCTAGAATCTAATGATCTGGCCTCAAATCTGCCGGTGGATCCCCAATCAGCGACTCCCGCAGTTGAAGAGAAGACGCAAAACGCTCAAAAGGCCGAAAAACCAGCACCCAAAAAACGCGGACGTAAGCGAAAGCAAATAACCGAGCTAGCGGAAACATCATCAGAATGTGCAGATACACCGGAACCAAACAAGTCGCCATCCGGAGCCCAGACTCCTGCGTCGAAGTTGGCTGTCGTTGTCGATAATAGTCCGAAGTCTATGGTCGAAGCTAATACCGGTAACAACGATGCATCTGCTACTAAAAGCAAAGATCAGAACACACCCCCTCTTCCTGGTCCTGAGTCTCTCTTTGAAGCTGCAATTGATACCTCCCATCCTCAGACTCCCTCGAAGCCCGATGCTGCGTCTGTCAATACACCACAGAACGCAGGTAAGGGCCCGGATAAGCACAGTCCCATCTCGGCGCGGAGTGGGGTGCCTTACCGCGTGGGATTGAGTAAGAGAGCGAGGATTGCGCCGTTGCTCAAGATGGTACGGAAATAGGGAGATGCTTCTGCATTCTTCTTGATCAAGGCGAGACATTCATCTCGTAATTAATGTTGTGCTTTTTTTTCTCTTTCATTGGGTTGGTCTGTTGCTACTGTTATTCTGCTATCATTATACCCCTCGAGAGAATGATCTCGGCGTGCTGCTTTGCTTTTTTTTTTGCGTATTTCTGCTGGTACAACCTGCGGTTTTGATTTTTGATTTACACACAAAAATCAAAACTACAGGTTGCTTTTATAGGCTATTAGGCCTACTTGTGCAACCCACCGCTTGAACATTGTTTTTCCGAGGGGTTTTGTGAGACCGTCGGTAGCCATTTCTGCTGTCGGGATATTGATGAATTTAACATTACTAGCTGCGACTTCTTCACGAAGTCGATGATAATGAATGGCAATGTGTTTTGTTGCTACATGAAATTCCGGATTCGACGCCAAAGCAATTGCTCCATTGTTATCTGCAAAGATAGGAATAGGCTTCATATCCCCCCGTGGTTGCATGTCTATACTTACCCACTTATACGACGTGGAAGAAACGTTGTGTTAGTTGATAACTTCTCAGCTGTGAGCTACGACAACTAGCCATAACATCTTCTCAGCTAGTCTCAACATCGGAAACATTACCTTCATCTTGGGGATCCGAGTAGATACTTCATGGTTAAAGGATCATGTGAGAGCCAATCATCAATGAATCAAGCAGATGACAGTTTTTCGCATTGTATTTCAATTCTGCTACTTGTTGATGATTCCTATTCCATGAGCTCACTAACCCTGCTGTGTCTGCCGATAGGTTCAAACGAGTGGATTGGCCACAACAAAGCCATGGCATACAAGCATAACCATAATATCGACAATGTAAACTCGGCCAAACAATCTTCGGGTCCCAATCCAAACATCAAAATGATTCATCACATCCACATCGCCACGAGCAAAGCAAGGAACAGCGACGTTGCAGCCGCGGTACCGATGGTTCGGAAGTCAGAGTCCGCTTCCGACTTTTGGCCCTTGGTTTCAACCTTCGGGTCCCATGCATCCCCATTGTAAGGAGCCTCAACGGAACAATACCCGGCATCCTTTTGGCAGCCGCTTCCACAATGACTGGTGGTGTTGCCACAAGAGTTGGTACTACCACAGCAAAAGCCGTAGGTGGACCCGAGGCAAGTGTAATTGGAACCACAGGAGCCGTCCCAAGAGATAGCCTTGTTGGGATCTGCCGAAGCAGTATTCTTGGGCTTCTTCTTGTGTGTAGGCATCCGGTTATCCTTGCGGTACCAGAGTGGCCTAGGATCTCGGAGACAGTCCCCAACGGTAATGGCGTGATAACCATGCCGCTTGATGCTCTTGAGCATGTGCTCCGTGAGGTTATGGACAGTTTGTTCATGGGCGTCATGAGCAATCACAAGCCAAGACTTGGTGCGTGGGTCGCTGTACAAGAGCTGTCGATCAAAGATATCCTTGGACCGCTGAATCAGATCCGGACTATCGTTCTTGTAGTCATCCGTGTCAATGTCATATAGAATGATGTGGTACCCAAGCTTTCCCAGCTCATTGCCACACTCTGTGTCAGGGCTGCAGCTGGAATAGGGTGGCCGCATGTAAGTGGGGAAATGTCCAAGAATATTGCGCAGCGCAGCTTCATTCTTTTCAATTTGCTCACCGCGTTGCGTTGGGGTGATCTTGCTGAGGTCCTCATGTGACCACGTATGACTGGCGATCTGGTGGCCACTTGAGTGCATGCGTTCAATCAATGAAGCCCACGGCAAGGTGAGATCATCGATAGCACCCTTTCCGTTGTTGATTCCAGTGATGAAAAATGTCGCCTTCGCATCATATTTGTCAAGCAAATCGAGTAGATCGCCCGTGTAACGTGTCGGGCCATCGTCGAAGGTCAATGCAACAGTTCCGGGGATAGCGCAAGAACGAATCTCGCGAGGACCGTACGGAACTTGACCCACGTGAGGACGAGGTATTTCCTTGGTCGGGGGTCCCTGAGGCGATCGGTGAGCGTCACATTTGCCGAAGTCAATCTTGCAGTCCGGAGAGCGACAGTGTGCCTTCGATGTGCCGCAGAAACCTATCGCAGAAACGAGATCAGTCAGTTGCTCAACTTAACAGAATTTTGAGACATACCCGAACCAGAGCAGCATGTACCGACGGGACATTTTCCGATCTTGGGGCCACAGCGATAGTCCAAATTGTTGGGGGCATCACGGGTGTCCAAAAGAGACTCTATTTCTGGTTGGTAATGTTCAAGCGAGACCGTGTGCACAGGACCGGCCACATGCAGTCTGGCAAATACAGACGTCGCCAACGTGGTGACCAAAATGGGATGGATACGCATCTCGAAAAATGGTATATAGTGCTGTGTTATGTTCAACTGGGCATGTAAAAGGTAATTGTTTGGGATGATAGCACAGGGTAACTCGGGACGAGAAGAGAAGAGAGAAAAGACAAGCAGGACCTTTGGAGAGAAGAAATAAGATGAGCTAGTTTCTACAAGAGGAAAGAAGACACAAACGGAAGGAGCGAGGAAGCTTCGAGACATCTGTTTACTGAAAACACAAAAGGGTAGGAGCAAGCCTCTAAGCAAGAGCCTCCAACCTTTAGAGATGTAGAAGTGGATGTTGACGCGCTTGTATTCAATATGAACGTGGGTATCGTGAATTCCATGGCCGTCTAGGGCATTGGAGGGTTGGCCTAAGGACCCAGTACATTTTTTTTTGAGATAGCAAATCACAGCCTAGCGTGCGATCAGGTTGATCATGAACTGACCACAAGCCAATTCAGATCAGACGCAGCACATCAGGCTCATGCAGCAGCCCTCGGCATCACGTGTAAGGGTCTAGGCTACAGTGTCGGTCAGACATCTATCAGTTGTAGGGCAGTGACCAGGATAACTCAGTTTGCTCGGGTAATGTTCTCCTCCCCGACTGCTGAGAAGACAAAGGGAGCAAGGGTGTCCAGGTGTGGGCCGAATTTCGTGGGTGCAGTTCTTGCAATGACGCCAATTGCAGCGATCAAGTGCCGACGCTGGACCATGGAAATATTGGAAGACAACGTTTTCGTCAGGCTAGATACAAATCCCTCCAGCTGACTATCGGAGAAGTGAAGCACAAGGGCCGAGATGGCTGTCAGGGCGCGCTTGGTGACAACGGTTCCAGCCGTGTCGTTTTGGATGATGGCCATGACGGATGCTTGAAGGGCAGCAAGCTCTGACTCTTGGAGCAGAGGTCCAAAACAGGTCACCACCTTGATGAGCACGTCGATGGCATCACTGCTGAAGCCCCGTGATGGGTCCTTCTCCATCATGCTCTGTACCATTGAGCCCCGCCGCCCTGTGCTTGAGGGTGTCGGGCCAGTCAAGCGGGGAACCAAGACCTTCGAAACTGCCGAGTATGCCGTAATCGCATTTTGAGATGCAGGTTGACCTGACTGGGGACGAGGTAGGGTATCGACGATGACGCGAAGAGCAGTGTTAGGGACAGATGTGTCTATCGTCTGGGAGGCAGTCAGGCTGGCCAACTGCTCGAGGAGAGGCGTAAGAGATTCAAAGGGCAAGCGAACAGCGAGAGGACCGAGGCTGGTTCAAGTTAGAGTTCAGCGGGGCCGGAGGGGAACAATGCTCAGTACGGACCATTTCAGAGCCTGGTTCTGCACGTCACCGTGTTGGTCATCTAGGGACTTGAGTAGACCTTCTGCTAGTTTTGTTGATGTGCCACGATCGTGAGAGAGAAATGTAGAGTTTGGGTTGGTCAGGATCCCGTATAGATCGTTCAAGGACATGTATCTCAAGTCTGCATCGGGGTCATCAAGCTTCGCTAGCAGATTGAAAATTGTCTGCTGGGTAACCTGGCGATCCGCCATTTTGATGAGGCTGTGACTGTTATCGGTAAATGAGGTTGGATAGAAGTCCCACTAAGGCGACGAGTGAAGTAGTGTATGTGAAAGGCAACCGGGGAAAGCTTGCGGTGGGAGCTTTGGATAGGCGCCGCAACGTGGGGTGTTGCCGCCTTCAGGTGTCCATTATTCATGGCCTGAGGCATAACATTACAACATCCCGACAACTTTTGAAAATGTCGATTTCCTAGCATAAAAACATCTGTTTAGGGCGAATGGATTTCAATAATGTCACCTGTATTGCCACGATACCAGTGAAATTGACATTGGAAACATACCTGACATACCTGTTCTGGCGAGGTCCAACTGTTTGATCTGATAATCAGATCGATCTTTCCAGAGCTCCACTTTTGTATAGAACGGGTCCAACCGCGAAGAATGCCAATTCGAATGATGCCATACCAACAGGGAACGGATTTCAAGATGTACCCCAAGGGCCATGCCACGAGAATTAGCTACTATTCAAATCCATCAAAGCCCAACGTGTTTATCCAAGTACTGAATACTCGCACCCATTACATCACGACGCACAGACCAGCTCGGGAACAACCAATACGTGCGACACTCCCGAGGTTTAGTTGCGAAAACCGGGAAGCTTCGGTGTAGTGTGAACTTGATTTTGTGCCCCTGTACTCTACTGCGTACCCAATTTACCCCCCATAACCTATCACCCTCTCCACCTTCTCTATCCTTTCTACTATATTTGTACCCAGGTTGCCATTACACAATGGTCTTAGCCCACCGTTCAATCGTCCGCGCTGCGACTGCAGCTCAGTCCTTCCGTGCCGCTCCTGTTACCCGCCAATCTGTTCAACTGCTTGGTCGCCGATTCAAGTCTACTGGTGGCAGCTATGAGAAAGGATATACATCCAGTGATTTGCCATGGCGAGTTAATGTTCTTGCTTCTGAGAAATTTGATACGGTCCTCTAATTCTGGTTGTAGGTTGGCGGTCTCTACTGCCGTGACCGTTCCAATGATCTTTTACCTCTGGCCTTCCGGTTCGGGGGAACACCACGATGCCCACGAGGACGAACGTACACAAGGCCACGGGGAAAAGGATGGCGAGATAGAGGAGGATCCGGAGGGGAAGCCTACTGAGGGTTACTACGAGGCCCCAGAAAAAGAGCAGAAGGTCGAAACTGAGAAGAAGGCGGATAAGAAGGAAGTGCCCGAGGAGAAGAAGAACGGGTCCAAGGAGGATGGAAAGGATGAGAAGCCCAAGGAAGACGACTCAACGACGGACAATAAGGACGACAAGAAAGTTGACTCCAAGGCCGAAGAGGCCAAGAGGGATGAGTCTCGGGAGGATGCTGGAAAGAGTGAGGACAATGACAGCGAGTCAAAGAACTGAAGACGCTTTACTTTGCCTTGAGCGGCCGTAGAACCAAGCCTGATGATGATGTGTCAACATGTTAATATTTGATGTCCTTGCTCCTAGCTCTATTCTCATGTATGCACCCGTACCTTTACTAGATACAAGATATGAGATTTCAGTCATTATCGCATGTCAAAGATTTGGTGTTTACAAAGAAGTATGATAGTTCGCTTTTGATCCGGCCTCTTCATTTAATGGCAAACGGTTGGCTCATTTGAATAGAAAGTTTGAAAAGACGAATGGGCTGTAATCTAGATTCAATCACGGCGATTTTTTTATCTCTCCTTCTAGATATGTACTAACAATATTCACAAATTAGAATTTTATATCGGCTACACTTTTGTCGCTCTTTTGAACTACCCAACAATAAGATCGTGTCTTGAACCATGGAACATGAAACATAAAAGAAGAAGAAAGACAACTGTACGAAGTTAACTGGCAAGAATGCGGGAATCATGAGGAGAGACGAAGACCTGCAAACTACATGTGTGGTCCCTAATGGATGTTAGGGCCTTATAGATGCCGCTGCAATGACAAACAGATGTTCTGTTTGTCCTTTGAGATCTTTTGGCCTAGCGGGCTAATGGTCTTGTGTTATCCATCAGGAGGTCAGGGGCCTGATTTGCCTACGGGATTACACATGGCCCATGGGTAGTTCCGGCGGCACGTGACACCCGAAGCCCTTTGTTCGAGCAGTGTTTGACAATCGATCCACGTACTCAGGGGTTGATATGACTTGAATAGAAGGCTTAGACCGATATTTAATAGAGAGAAAAAAAAGTCACACAACATGGCTCAGACAAGGTGCAATCTACAAAGCTCCAACATGCTGCTCCCTAGTATCAGGTGAAAGGGAACATTAATGGACATCACCGTGACTCAAAATGCATCTTACAGCCAGCTCTGGAACAGCTCGACCCAAAGCCTACACGGGCTGTGGATCCTAGCAGTCCCAACAAGTGATTTAAGAAGAAATGAAAACTAGCAAATGAAATCAAGGTGCTGATAGTTAACGGTATCTTCCTTGGTTTAGATACATTGTTCCTGCCGTTGCCAAGCCAGTTGGACATAACAATCGGAGACTGAGAATCTCTGTGAATCCATAATGTGAATAAGATCAGCCAACTTCACAGATGTTCAGATTGGATGGGTAAATCCACTAGAAACAGAACCGTTCATAGAGAGTTGGCAAGCTGAGTGGGATTTCATCGGGCCCTTGCAAAATCGTCACCCAGTTCAGATCAGTTCCCCCAAGCGCTTTGGTGTCATCCAAGATGTTCCAAATGGTCTTGATAGTTGTCCACTGCGATTCAACGTTTGGAAGGCCATAATGTTGCATCGAGCGCCATAACTCGATCCAAGGCTGGCGGTTAGTGGCATTGCATGCTGCCACAAAAGCCGGGAAGGTGATAGGGTCAGATCTGTGTATCAAATCGGGTTGCAGGAGTGCTTTGATCTCTTCGGCGCGGAGCATACATGCCAGGATCTCATCCACAGCAACAACAAGGTCATCGTCGAAGATCTTGAGGAGTCGGTTGTGGTAATAGACGTATGCGGAGAGAAACCAGGCGACCTCAAAGTTGTTGAACAATATGTCTTCTGCGTCAATGCCGGCTTGAAGGGAAAGTGGGATGCCCTCCTTTGGTTGAATCAGCTGCAGATGCTTGGACAATTGGGCAATGCCTGCAGTAAGGTACTCAGGCACTGGAAGATTGTCGGGCTCGTAGCTTTCGATTGCTTCTGCCAACTTCTCCGTTTGGGTGATAGCAAACCGGGTAAGGTGCGTAGCACCGGTCAGTGAGCCGAATGGCTTTTCAAATGGCATGATGACTACTTGGAGTAGACCAGGCCACGAAAAAGAAGAGGATGAGAGACGGTTGCTCGTAACTGTGGTGATTGGCGAGAAGCGAAGAAGGAGCTCGACGAAGAAGGTAGAGTATTTAAATAAATTTGGGGCACGTAAACGAAATTTGTCTTTTCTCAGAAACTTATACAATACGAATAGAGCATTTTCGTTGTCATTCGTACGTGACATTCGTAAATTTGACGTTGTACTTCGATGCCTATCGATGCCTACAGTATAGATGCGAATAACATCAATATTTACACCGGGCCTTGATAGGCATCGAGCTCCACAGTCAATATAACATTCACATATACAAGAACAGGAAAGGCTGTGAGCCTCTGATTGGGATTATCATATCAAGTGGGGAACTGGCTATCTTTCCAAATGTGCAGATTGAGAAAGTAAAACCTAACGCTTTATAATCAATAGATTCCTTCTAACAATCGCTATATTCTCAAAGAAAAAATAAGCGGCTGGGTGAATTGAAATAACGTAGGAATAGAGTTGCAAGCGAGGCTATACACAGTAAGAGTGCTATCGATGTAGGCTGTGGCACATGGCAGGTATTTGAGTTCTGATTCCTATTCCTCTAGGATTAAACAGGCGTCAAAGATGCATTAGCGGTAGTGATTATACCTAGGTACCTATGTAAATGTATGCATAAGCCAACTGATCCGGAGTTTCTATGGTCATAACATTTGCATTTAGACCAGTGCAAGATCAAATGAAACTATACCCTGGGACTCGAGGAAGGCACAGCGAAAAACATAGAAACTTCGCCACGTTACGAAGATCCCAAGCAACATGTATCTTTCTCTCTCACTAACCTCAAAGCTTCACTGTGAAGACCCCCATTCGAACACCAGGAAAGGGTTAGATTCCGGCTTTTCTTCATTGCTCTAATCATTCCCTTCTTGGGATCGTCACTTTCCATGGTGTTGTTTTCTTTCTGACTTATCCTAGGAGAAGGAATGGGCGGTAATAATCCCCTCTCTATCTCGGATGCACTTCATGACTTGCAAGACTTGAATTACAGACCAAAGACTCCAAAAACCACGCTAGCTTACAAACTCCGGTCAAGGTGGTGAGAAGATTCAAGTCTCTTCCCCACTTCATGAATGCCGTGCCTTGCCATGATTTGAGGTCCTATTACTGTCTACTATTACAGGCGGTGGGAAATAGACTGACGCCAGACTCCAAGTCAATCCCCCCAGTCCACTGTGTCTCCTACGCTAGGGGCACTTTGTTTGAACTATAAAGATGAAGCTCAACTCCTTTCCCCGTCACAAGAATGACTTCAACTCGATTCCAATCTCGTTCGACCCAAGGGCTCTATACCTCGACAAAGCATTTTCGATGCCACTGTCTCCCCAAACCCCAATACAACACCCTGGCCTCGTTCGGTCTTCTCTGCGTGTGCTATTTCTGGTCATAGACACGCTGGTAGTGGCTTATCTGAAGCATCTGAATGCTTTAGGCTCATGTGCGCAAAGTTGGAGGTCTACTATGTCTTCATATGGAGACCAAGAAAAGAACACAAACTACTGAACACTCCTTGGGAATACTTGTGTTCGGTTTGGCAGAATTGCGAAGTCCATGATTAACGAAACTAAAGCTTCCCAATACTGTGTGGCTATTTCTCATTGCCCATCCTAACTTTCATTTCTCCCTATCCCATCAGGGATTTCGATTCCTTGGTCTGTGGTAAAAATTGGTACAACGTTGTCATTTTCTACCGCTGAGAGTATAGTTATCATGACCTGTCTTCTATTTCCATGAAAATGACACAGATGTGCACAATTTTTTTTTGACCGTATTCAGAGTAATCTGAAAAGTAAACCCAGTGGGGGATAAATTCAACTCTTAGTCCTCAAGTTTCGATGATAGATAATGGAGACTGGATAGTAGTGTATTGCTTGTTGCCCCGAGGGTAGGGACGCTTGAAGATAGGAACTACAGTCTCTAGGAATAATCCACCGCCCTGTTTGATATTGGATCGTTGGGAGTAAACTATTTCTTCAAAAGGACCAAGGTTTATGGCTTACACTTGGTTCATATACAGCGGAGAGGGTTGTTCTTTGAGTTCATATTTGCTTGCTTAAATAACATACATGGATTCAAAGAAAGTTCACGAAGCGAGAACTGATAGAATAATATAAAGCACATATGAAGCACATGAAGTCCGAACCAACGTTAAGAAACTGGCAGTCCAGTAGAAATTACTTAGTTCATATGCTCGTTAAAAACAAGCGCCGGCGCCCGCTCTTCTAAAGGGCTATCCAACAGGCACAGCCAATGCACCAAATTCAGACCCAGCTTCAACAAATACATTAACAGCATTTCAAATCATCCAGAGGATCTTCTGGTAACCCACCTGATCCAAAAGTATAAATACAACACTGTGAAGACTCCCGGATTTTGAAGTCAGGGTAATCGATCAAACGGGAACCGATTGAACTCCAGCGAAAGCGCTCCGATTACACCTTTCTGCTGCGAGTCCGAGGACCACGCTGCTCAGCGACAGGCTCACCGTTCAGCAGAACCTGGGGGGCGTGGTTCTCCTTGCCAGTCTGGTCTGCGCCAGTGGCAGTTGCCTTGGTCGCATTGACAGACTCCAGCTCTTCTTCTTCTTCGTCCTCGCTGCGCTCATCTCTTGTGACATTGGTGAAGATGTAGTTCAATAGGATGCGCAGGATCAGGAACAGCCAGAACAGGTTGACAGCCTGCAGACTAGCGAGCAGTGCAAAAGTGATGTACTGACTAATCCAGCACTTGTACTGCTGTGTCTCCCAGTTCAGCTCGAATGGGCCAACCGTACGGAACTCGGTCAGCACAGCCCAGAGGATCTTCAGGTTCAGCACGTGACGCAGGTAAATCCACCATCCAACAAACATGGCAAAGTACGGCGCAGTGATATACGCATCCAGGTAATTAAGCGTCTTGGAGGTGGCCAAAAAGAAGTCGGAGATATCGTGCGTGATGTAGACCGCCAAGCCCATGTACGTGAAATGGAAGCGGTAGCTCAGCGCGATAAGAGCAAGTGTGATGATATGGTGACCAACAAGCTCCTTGAAATCCTTACGCGGCTTCTCCAACTGCAGCAACAATACAATCGCCTGCTGGGCCCAGTAACTCGCCTCGAGCAGGTAGTACGCCTTGAACAGACCCTCGTGCTCGCGGTGCGGGAAGCCCTCAAACATCGCCGTCGTGTTGAAGTACCAGATGGCCGACCGCTTCATCACGTACAGACCGAACGGCCCGAACACACCGAAGTAAATCGCCGTATAGGCCTGCTCCATGAACCGCGCCGTCTTCCCCTTCCCACGGATACCGCACCACACAGCAAACGGTCGGATAATCTGCTGCATGATGAACTCGCGCGTGAACGACAAAACGATCGTATAGAAAGCCACAAACGCAATGTCCTTCTTGCCCTTACCGTACATGATGGGTCCGCCAGGAGTCTTCGGGGGCTGCGGGTAGGACAAGAAGATGGCGCTGTGCATTGGGTTCGAGGTTGTGGGGTTAATGGCGTACAGAGCGATCAGGAACAGCATTATGAGAAGCGGCAGGAGCCAGGTGTATCGCAGACAGGTATCCGCGAAGCGGTGGAGGTGGGAGCGGCTGCGACGCCGTTTGGACTGGGTCTTGCTGGCCAGCTTCTGTGCGCCATCGAATTGCTGGTGGGATTGCGGATTAGGATGGGAATAGGATGTGCGGACGAGAGTATTCACAACTTACCTTCAGAACTGGTGATGCTGGTTCGATTGGGCTCACTTCGTTCATTGTGGACATCGCAGGTGCGCTGGTATCACCTCGAATGTCCACGCCCAAGGCTGAGCTTCCCCGCGGTCGACCCATGACGAATGTAGGAAACTCGAGCTTCGTACCCTTTTGGACTTGGGGGGATTCGAGCTCACGTGCTCCAATTGAAAGAGATGAATCGAGGGAAAGAGAAGAGAAACTCGGTGTTCATAACCGGAACGATCGGATAGAGAGAGGGTCGTCAAAGGCGATCATCCAATTTTTTTTTTCCAGGGGCGAACTCCACCCCTCGGTCGACCAGACAGCTTCGCAGCTTCGATCGGAAAGTCTTGGCAACTCTTCTCCCTTTGATGTCCGGTTCGATTTCGACAAATCTCCTTTCGCAAGGTCCTTTTTACACTCTGGGCGGATTTTGAATCGGTTTATGACTGCCAATTATAAGTTCAACACTTGCGAGACTCCTGTGAACAACGAGACACCCGTTTTACGATTCAGATACGTTTACGATCTACTACTCCGAATACGAGCAAAATGAAGACGGGAAGAAGATATGAATTAGAGAGGTTGATAAGACTAAGTTCGAGGGTATATGCATGTTCCGGAATCGTGTTGCATGATATCATATCGACATTGACCATGTTTAACCCAAGAGGGAGAAGTGAAAAAAAAAACATTTTGACGGAGTCATATAACCCGTCCTGTACACACGCACTACTTATGCGTCAACAACCTCGGTGTGGGCAGCAGTACGCTTTTCAGCTCCAGCTAGCTTCTCACCAAGGACCTCAACATCACCCGATTCGGCAGCGAGAGTGCGCTTGGTATCGTGGGTAGTCTTCCAGGCCGGGGTACCGATGTGAGGGATACCGTTGGGATCCTCGAAGATTTGCTCAATTTCCTCTAGAGTCTTACCAGCAGTCTCAGGGAAGAAGAAGAAGACATGGACAATCATGACGAACAAGAAAACACCGAAGATGAGGTACGTCTTCCAGCGGATCGAGGCAAACGAAGTGGGCACGAACAGACCAAGCGCCATGTTGAACGCCCAGTTGAACGAGGTTGCCAAAGCAACAGCCTTACCGCGCACGCGCAGAGGGTATAGCTCAGGAGGGTACACCCACGACACGGGTCCCCAGGTCGGAGCGTACGACGCCACGAACAGGTAGGTGCATGCAATCAGTCCCTTGGCAGGAGCGCCACTGAGAAGCATTGACGCTTCGGGAACGCCTTCAATACCGCCGGGCACAACCACACCATACTTGGCCATGATACCTGCGTTGGCGAACATCCAGATCATCATCAAGGTAGCGCCGATCAGGAGAGTAGGACGACGACCCCAGCGGTCAACCCAGATCAGAGCAGGCACGGTCGTGATCACATTGATGACGTACTGGATGGAGGAAGCGAGGAGGGTGGCATTGCCCTTGTATCCGGCCATGGTGAAGACGTAGTTGATGTAGTACATCATGACGTTCATACCGGTCAGCTGGGACCAAATTTGCATCCAGATTCCGATGAAGGTGCGGTGGATCATCTTGGGTGTGAACAGCTCGAGGTAGCTGACATCCTTGTTCTGGCGCTCGAATTCGCAAATGTCGCGGATCTCTTGCATCTCGGCCACGACGAAGGGGCTGTTCACGTCGCCCTGGCCGTGCACTAGGGTCAGCACTGACTGACACTCTTCCCAGCGGTCCTTGCGGGCCAACCAACGAGGGGATTCGGGGAGGATCAACATTCCGAAGAAGAGGAGAACAGCGGGAACAGCTTGCACGCCCCAGGGGACACGGAAGACAGCCTCGCTGTAGTTGTGGGAGGTGGAGTGGCTGCCTTTTCCGATGAACGAGCAGCCGTAGGAGATGCTGTGAAAGAAAAGAGTCAGCTACCGGTTCACTTTCTGAATGTCAAACCGGGGATGTGCCACCTACTAGTACATGATCAGAATACCCCAGGTGATGGCCCACTGCTGGGAACCGACGAGACGACCACGCTTGGAGGGAGGCGCAATCTCCGAGATGTAGACAGGGACCTGGGCGGACTCAATGCCGACACTAAGACCGTTGATGACACGTCCGGCAACAAGCATACCCAAACTCTGGGAAGCGCAGGAAATCACGGAACCGATCACCCTACTTAAGTATTAACCACAACGGTCCAACCTCGACTCCACCTCAACCATACAACTATGCAACCACTTACCAAAGAACACAGCCGACCATAATAGCATACTTGCGACCAAGACGATCTGAAATGAAACCGGAGATAAGAGCACCGAGCCAAGAACCGGCGGGCATGGCAGCGGTGACACCACCCTGGCTCAGGGTACTGAGGCCACTACATACGTCGTCGTCGTTGAATGGAGGGCCCCGAGGCCCGTGATTGAAATAACATTTATAGGACGTCGTGCCGATAATGGCCGACATCGACGAGATATCGAAACCGAACAGTGCCCCGCCAATGACGGACATCGCCGTGATGACATACAGATTCCCCACGACAAACATGGTGACTGTTCAACCCAAGCCGGGGGAAAAAAAAGCAAGGGGACAAAAGAAGACAGAACTATGAAAACTGAAAATGAAATGAGGAAAACCCTGTCTTAAATAGATCGCATGCCGGAAAAAACTCTTCTCTACAGTAAGAAACACATGAGAAAATCCGCATCAGGGTATTATTCCGTCCTGTTTTCCCCGTGCATACCCACTCCCTGTCCCGTATTTGAGATTTCCGGGGAGAGAAATTAGTGTAAAATATGTGACCGTCTGGATACTCCGTACTCCGTACACAGATATAGTAAGGCCGAGATATAATACTGTGGAGGTCTAAGGTTACAACGGGACTAAGCGAAGACTCCGCTTGTGACCCCAGGTGTCCACTCTGGAGTCTGATTGGTGGAAATTGGATTATGCTTACCCACCAATTCCGTTGTGATTGGTGGACACTCGGCATTGACTGGGATCCGGGGAATGGGGAACAAGAATCGGCCACGAATTTTAAGCCGAAGAAGGCCAAGCGCGGTAATGGAGAATCATCCGAACACGGCAGCCGTGTTCGGGTCTGAGAGAGTCGGACCTCGATAATCGGCACGGCAGTGGCGTTTCTGGGCAGTGGAAATAAGAATAAAAAGACATCTGGAGAAGAGAAATGTAGGTGTAAAGGATTACAAAAAAAAAATAGGGTCATGTACTCCATACCTTTCGGACATCCCCAGATCAACCCACAAAAAATTTCGTGGGCACTAATCAATTTCCCTGTCAAGAAACAGATCTCGTTATCTTACTGTACAGGGAGTATGGCATGTCCTCATGTCCTAAGCAATTAGCCGGAGTGTCCACATCGCCATAGACGAATGAGAAGTATATCCTCTCAACCAGTGACCCGAGCACATGATAAGTCCGGGGCCCCGTCTCCGGCCATTTTCCCTGAACAGGACTGTACTCGGCCTCTCATGAACTTCAGTGGCTGCCACTCGCCGAAGTGGACTCGGCTTGAACTCGGCCTGCGGTGATTTTTTTCCTTTCTTGGAACTGTGTCGGCAATTAATTGCTTGTGTTTTCTTTCTTTTTCCTTTTTTTCTGGTGTTGTTTTTTTTTTCGTACGGAATACCCTTGCACGGCTACGTTGCAAAGTAAATTGGGTTTCAGGACTTCGGTCTTGTCACTGGCTATTAAGGGTGGATCAACGACTCCCACGTTGATTGTCATCTTGATTTTCAAGTCCATTCTTATGTCGATAGTGAAATTCCCCGCGTGGGAAAGATGCGGAGGACTGGGGAAATCCCAATTGCGCTCACCGAGAGAACATTCCCCCATAGTTGCTGTTCTCTGTAGCCTGATACTTAGCGCAGATGATATCTCACATGTTGGAAGGGAGGCGTTTTTTTTTGGCACAAACGGTTTGCTTCTATTCTCAAGCCACCAACATTGATGGGGCCGTTCCTTTCCCTACCATTGCACGGACCGTGGCAATCTACTTGGCCATATAGAAGTGCTCACTCCGTCCGTACTCTGTATGTAGACATGATACTGTCTACCTGGTGGGGGGACCATTCCTATCTGGGATGCTGGCGCTTTACGAGATCACTCTGACCTGGACAGGATCACTGTCGTACGAGCTCAGAGTCAGTGGTCAGAGGCTCTTCTGAAAGAGGAAAGGTGTCCAATTTTGAGACATTAAGTCTGAATTTTCATCACCTTCCGAGAAAAGGCCAGCTGACTACGGAGTAGTGAAGTGCTCAACCTCGAGAGAACAGTCGAGAACATTGCGGTGTGGATAAACCAACACGGGAAAATATCGGAAGGTTCAACTGAAAACAAGCCCGGCGGAATTTATATTGACCTTGCGGCTTTCCCTCCATCTCATTGGCGTGCCGATCATCTTCCATGAAATCTTCACCTTTCCTTTTACATATGTGGTAAACCTCTGGTATTGGATGGAACCTCGTCAGCCAGATTTAGGAGTGGGCTTGAAACCTTTCGCCACGACCACAAGCACCTTCGCTACCTTTATCCCCACCCACAGCGTGAAACCTCCTTTCCACATCTCAACCACCTGTCGAACCATCGGAATTCGAGCCGTTTCTTTCTGGCCCTTGCTATTGACTGGCATCACCTTGAAGGCCTTTCAACATCACGTTAGAGAGCAGCAACGATAGGTAAAAGCACTTTCAGCATCCCGACAATTAATATACAAAGCACCCCTCCCGATCTCATTAGGTGCACGCATACGACATCAGATATACATGAAACACACGGCTCTCACATTCGACAGACGCCGCTACCCGAGAGTACGGTATCAATTCCTCTCGATGGGACTTCAATTGTTCCCCGGGTTTTGGGGATCATATTGCCAGCGGCGGTAGTTCTCCCCAATCCACCACTTGGCGACATGGGCAGCTTCGCTGAGCCATTTCACGGCCTCGGGTCCGTGCACCTTTCGCACAACGTCGATCAGGAACAGGAGTTGGAGATCTTCCTGAGGATTCAGCTCAAATGGATCGGCGACGATGTCGGTGAATCGCCACATCGCGTCGGGTTTGAGAGGCACGACTAAGCGGTACGGCTGTGCGGCCGCACGCATGCAGAACCACGTTCCACCAGGGTTCATCGTCGAGAAGTGCCATTCTTGCTTGCCGTCGTGCTCGGGGATGAGTGCGCGTATCATCGACTGGCCCTCGTACATAGGGAGCAGATCCTTGACGATCTTAGTCGATTGCTCGTCGATAGAGGAGGTTTCGACGAGCAGATCGAGGATGGTGGGAAGGATTTGGGTGGAAAGAACAGCATTTTTAACTTCGAGCTGCGGCAGCTTGGGATGTGAGAAGAATAGCGGTACGTGGAAATTTCCGACGTGAGGGGAGTGCCAGGCAGTTATACCACCGTCATTTGGAAGTGATAGACCACTAGATGAAGTAAGAGGCTGGAGGGGCTGCGAGATATAGGCATGACTTACTGGTCACCAGTCATCACAAGAAGGGTCTCATCGGCAATACCGGCATCATCAAGAAGCTTGAGGATATCGGCTATCCACTCGTCCTGGTAGGCAATGGTGTTGAGGTATCGATTTAACCTCTGGTACTGTTCAGTCGACAAATCACCCATCATCTCCCGATAATCACCGGGTTTGTAATACGGAGTGTGTGTATTATGTGTTAGATGGCTAAGGAAGAGGCGAGTGTTGTTCTTCTTGGCATCGTTGATGACATCTCGGAGATAATTTTTCAGCAACTTATCCTCATGGCCATGTTCCTCTTCCTCTTCTGTCTCTTCCGGGATGTATTTTTTACCAGCTGCATCGATTGTTCTCCTTGCCATGATATCTTGATATCCTAGAGCAGGATGAAGCATATAGTGCTTATCCCAGTCGTCGGGGTGTGACTGCATCCACATAGAATGCCACGGCCAGGAAGTCCAGTCATCTGTCTGATTATTGACATTTGGCTGCTGGTTTAATGCCTCGAGTATGTGTGGCAAGCAAGGCTGGTAAATATCATGCAGGTACTCGAGATTGGCCTCAACAGCCATAGGATTCACCCCGCACACTGTGCCAGTAATACTCTTCAGGGTGTATGTCCCGGATGTGTAAGCGTTCCTCGCACTGATGCCACCATAGGGCTTCGGATGATCATCCCCGTCCTTACGGAACCCAGTCTCGAATCCGGTTAAACGCTCGGCGGTAGGGGTGAGCTTGGAGAGCCTATCCTGGACCTCCTCGGGGATACCGCTCGGGTAAGAGTCATTGATGTGTTTCATAATGTAAGAATTTGAGCGGAAGGGCCACACATCCTGTCGAGTGCTCTCTAGCTTTATGAGAATGACATGCTTAATTTTCACACTTCCGCTGTGGAGTAGCTCGCGAATGGGCTCCAAAATTTCGTTCTGGAGGTTTGGCGTGTGTAGAGGATCTTTCACCGGGTTATAGTGTTCATAAACATAGTCAGACTTGTCGTGCTTATTGATACGGAAGGGAGACCAGTCCGGGAAGCCATCTGACGAATTGTACGAAGGTAACCAATCAAATGTGGGAAAGGAGTCCAAAGCGGTGTGACCTTCCAGCCAGCTGAAATCGGCCGGTAGCGAGGTGGAATTTCCATTGGCAGCACTTGATGAGGCACTTGACGGAACGCCTGACGGAGCGCTTTCTGGGGAACTTTCTGGAACAGCACTTCCATTCGCCGATGTGGGACGTTCATGAGCGGGTGAATATTTGTGGCTACCGAATGGCGCGAGGGACAGGGACTTGGAGAGATAACTGTAGTCCGCAGCGCGTGGGCGAATGATACTGAGAAAAATTATGATTAAGCCGCACGATATGGCGATCACACGCTTCAGCAACGACTGGCTCTTTTTTTTGCACAAATTCATTTTGAGGTATATCCAATTGTGATATGGAGTCACTGTCGTTGTGACCCTCATCATAGTCTTCAATTTCAACCTGCTGATAGATCTCTGGGTCTGACGGTGTTTTTCGTCGAACAAATCGGCGGACAGGGTAGAGCAAAAGCGAACCCCAAATCTCCAGGAAACTGTCGGTGACTCGGAACAGACACGGCGTGGCAAAGTACGCGCCAATCATAATCAACGTTTCAACCAGAATAGCGACAGCCAACATAGACAAAATGGTCTGTGTAGCGGGATTGGCATTGTCCTTGTGAGAATCTTCCGATTTGCGCCATAAGATCTCCGCCCCTGTATGGACGTAAAAGGAGATATTAGCGGCAGTCAACGACGAGATATACAGACTGGGGTATTATTAGCAATTTACGTTGCTCTATGAGTCCGGATCCGAGCTCACCTGAACAAAAGAGACACAACGCCGGCTACATTTTGGCCAATCCGCGATTCAAATGAACGGGCCAAGTAGCACGCGACCAGAATAAGCACAATGTCCACCAGGAAGAATGTGGGGCCCCATGGGAGGAGGGATGGAACTGCTAGCGACGTGAGATGGACGCAGAGATGGAAGCATTTGGATAGTATTAGGGCAATGAAAGTGGTGGAGAAGAAATATATGCGAGAAGCGTCCAGGTAGAGCTGAGGGGATCTGACGACTTGAAGGGCGAAGAGGGCTGAATCCTCAAGCTGCCTACGGAGGGAGAGATCTCCGGGGCGATGCATTGAAGATTTCATAATGCCGGCAACACCTTTTGAAGGGAAGATGGAATTAAAGATAGAAGCCGATGATGGAGCGAGACATTACGTAAATCGAAATCCAAGAGTCCATAGGGCGGAGCAGCCGGCAACCTTACGGGCTCATACACTCAAAAACGTTGCCCTCTTCAACCTTGGCAGAAAGTGTCCACGTGCTGGATTACCCTGAAAGGTCAGTGACGTCAATCGGTGCATCGGAAAGCAAACATAGCAAACATAGCAAAGAATATATCGACAATCTTGACAATGCACCCCTCAGTGTGTATTCTTGACCATTTCTCATGGCAAATCCTTTTTTTACAGTTTTCAAAATAGTCAGGAGAGGGTTCGAGCGACAAGTTGGCTTGAATGCAGTGTGGGGATCACCAGTGAGTACTAAACCGGAAATGGAAAGCCGAGATTGGCCCGGCATTGATCTCCAGCATCCATGAATATCGATGAGGTCATCGACTTCTCTACGGAGTACTCCTTATTCCCCTGCAAGAGAAGGCAAATTTAGGTTTACCGGGGGGCTAGGGAACACTGGATGGGACTGTTGGTGCCTATAAATCCGGGGTATCTACCATTTGAGTCCCACCAATAGTACTATATATCTCTCATTTAACACCCCACCAAGATGTGGGTCATTGACAGATCACTACTCCGTATGTTGTATATCTTTCACATTTGTTGATCTGCCCAGAGGATTATTGAAGACACACTTATACCAAATCAAAATGGAGTGATCCTCCATAAGTTGTAAAATTCCAGGATCCAAACCGTTTCAGAGACATATCCAAACTACCTCTGGAACGAAGATTACTCAGTGCTAGGATGAGTTGCATTGCCCTTATTGTATCTGCAGGGCTTGACTCAGACGGAATTGGCTCTTGGAACTCTTATCGATGAATGATGCTAAACTGAAGGTCACGGATAAGGACATTCTCGCCGGTACAACGCGTGTCATCTTCAACCGAACGGCCATCGTAAATTTAGAAAGCAAACCAACTTCGTCAGATCAAGTCCTCCAGCTTGTCCAAGGAAGGTCAAGAGACCATCGAAGACAGCTCCAGTAGACCATACTCACTAAATGGTGGGAATCGCCAAAAAGATGACTCCAGCCGACCAGCTTCTCTTTCGAGCTCTGCCAAAGAAAGAAAAGGTTGGGATTTTGGAGTAGAAGCTGGGAGCATTTTCTTCTGAGATTTATGACATCCAATCTTACCCCAAACAGGGCCCGACCGATGGATGCAGCCTACTATACTACTGCTCTTCGAGCTGAAGCGCACCACCTTTTGTCATGCCGAGAAGGAGAGGTCAGTCGTCAGATTGAAAAATACTCTCTTCTGTCTGATGTAGGCAGGCGTGTGTGTGGTACTTACCGATGATTTCAACGATGACCTGAGGTTTCCTACACTCAGTCGGCATCTGCATGTAGATCGAGGTGCCGGCAAGATCTTGCTCTAGAGCTCGCTTTTTTGGTAGAATCAAGAGACCGAGCCACCTTTTTCACCTAACGGGTTGTCGAATGATAGCTATATGGCGCTCGCACATGGTGTCTGTTAGCAGTAGTAGGTGAGTGGTAATGGCAAGAGAGGGATTTTCGAGGGGAGGAGCAGCTAAGTCTCCGATCAGAAGTTTGTGAGCGTGGGGATTTTGTTACCCGAGACGAGGGAAATGGAATAATTCCTGGGGTCTCTCAAGGGACGGATTGAAGCAGGTATTTTTGATTGATGAGGGGAACGTGTGGATGGACGATTATTCGAAGTGAAAGCCATGGGTTGAACGGCTCAATAGACTTGATCAAAGAGTTTGAGCACGCAAAGGAAGTGTTGATGAGCTCTTCAGGTATTGGCCAGGTTGCTCCTTTCTACCTTTATCGACCAACCCAGGATATTCTGTTGAAGGTCTTGGGAGACTATGCTTTCAATTGTATCATGATATGCTGAAAGAACATCACCGTCGAAGTCAAGAGACACCAAGTGCCCTTCACGTACCTAATCCGGAATTAATCACCCATTCTTTGAGTCTTGGGGCCATACAACAGAGAGTTGCCTTCCTATGAGTATCATTTCTCTCCACTCAAAAGCACGTCCACGTCGACGCCCCGCAGCTCCGAGTCCCATAAATCGAGGGGACTCTGAACCAGTAACTTGGCGAATCCACCCGCAAGATCAAGTATATATAGTCTCCAGCCTTTCGTTCACTAGCATGGAGATGGTACCAATTCTCTCATAACTAACCCCCCCAAACATCCCAGTCGCGTAGCCCATTAATCTTAGTTCTCAACCGATTTCTCAAAGAGTGCAAAGGCCACACGGGACGCTCTTGTACTTCAAACCCTTCTCCATCTGTTCAGCGTAATACCGGAAACTTTTATAACCCTTCAGCCAGTCACAGTATTGAAGGTCATGGCGGGAAAATGGTAGCTTCGTCTCCGCAGAGTGAAAGTCAACGACGAGGCTCTAAGCAGTGATATCACGGTCCTTGTAGAATTTGCCACTGCCACTTTTCTTCTCGGCCACTGGTCCATGTATCAAGCAAAGTTCCAAGATATGAAAGAAATAGCCATTGGGATTGTGGTGAATACCATCGCATCTTGGACGCGCCTCGTTACTGGTGATCATGTGTACGAAAAGGCGCGCGTTCGTGTGTGCAGTATAGATAGGCGAGTCGTAGCCCATGGAACTGATAACCAGGATGAAAACAAATCAAGCTCGTCTAGAACCGAAATTTCAAGGATGTAGGTTTTTCTTCATTCAATTGAGGACCGTTCGGGTTTCTACCGAGACTTGAAGACTCATCAGGAGCAGCTGGAGACTGTTTGATGGGCTGTGCGTGTCATGCTTCTCGTGACATGGTCTAAGAGGACCATCCAAATTCAAAGCTGTGTATGGCGCATCCTGAATAGGTAACATATTCGATTTGGACGGATATACGGGTGGAGTGCGATGGTTCTTGATTGCCTCTTCGAAGATCACGACAGATCCATCAAGGCATTCATTTTAATCAGAACGGCGTTTGAAGAAGTCCGCATCCTTTTAACTGATTTTTTTCTGACAACTACATTTTTCCTTCCTTTTCCTATCATCCTTCGTTGAATCAACATTCGATGTACTCTCTTGAGTTTTGTCTATTTTCGGCTCACCAGGCAATGGCCAAAAAAAAGTACGAGAGATGGTTTACATCCATCTACATCCTCAACAGAGGCCAGACCACCAACAGAGACAAAAGTTGCATTAACATTAGAACCACCCATTCCCCCCCTCCTTGGACAAAAAAACTACCTCACAAGCTCCCACTCAGCTACATAAGCCCAAGCCATGCCAACCCGGCCAACATTCTCCTGAAACTCCTGTGCCGTGACATCACTCGCATCTTTCCGATCCCCAAAGCTAGTCAACACAGCCAGCTGCAGGTTCTGACCAGGCGCACCGAGCATACGTGCACTGGGGACATCCACATACCAGAATTCGCCACCGCCCGCGGATCCGGAGCCTGGCACGTGTGTGAAAGGGAGTCTGTCATCCTCGCGTCCATCCACACCATGGATCATCAGCAGGAATAAGCCCACGTGCTGGATGTGGCTGTGACAAGCAAGTGTCCAGTGCGGACAGAGGAGACCAAACTGGAAGCGTATTGCGCCCGGTGTGCTGATGGATATGTGCAAACCTTGTGGGTGGAAGGTCTTGCGACCGATGGTGCGCTTGTCGGCATCGCTGTAGACCTTGAGGCCTTCGACGCCATTTGGCCGTTCCGGGTCTGTGAGGATGTACTCTTCCCAAGTTGGATCGGGGCGTCCGTCCTCGCGGAAGAACTGGCGTTTGTTTTCTGGGAAGTGCTTAAGGCCGAACTCTTCGTTCGGCATTGAGAACATCGATGGTTCGAATCGCTTCTTGTATTGCTGTCCAGCGCCTTCTATGGCTCCTGCTCCCCAGCAAGCGTCAATTAGTTTCCATCGGCCTCCGTCGATTTTGACAGCGTTCCAGGCGTGGTTGCCTTCGTATGGGGGCACCGGGACCCCTGCAGCAAGAGCTTCGTGTCCGAAGCCTTTGCCATGACCGCCGACTACTATTGCCTCTAGACCTGAGTGGGTGGCTAAAGCTGCAAATAGTCCTGCATAGCCTTCGCAGACTGCCATTCCAGATGCGAGAGTACTTGCCGGCGTGGAGGGCTTCACGCAGCTGTTAAAGAAAGCATAGGTATCGTAGAAGATGTTATGATGCAACCACGTAAATATCGCACGTGCCTTGTCTGTCATGGATGAGAACGGTGCTGTCAATTCATTGGCCAGCCACTTCATATCCTGCGTGGGAAGCGATTCACGGGGATATCGGGCTGCATGGTTATCAGGGCCTGAGAAATTCCGACAAACTAAGCATTCCGTGTCTGATGTTGCGGGTGGAGGGCTTGGAGACACAGCTGACCCGTTGAGGCGTGGCTTTGTAGACAAAATTTTGGATAGATCCGGACGAGAACCATGTGGAATCGGTGGTGGGGTTCCTTTGGGCGCAGTTCCGCTGGATTTGGGTGGATTTGTTGAGCTTGTATTGCCAAATCCGAGCTGCCTAACATCCCTGATCTGTGCAGCCGTTGGTGGAGGTGGTAATGCCTTCCGAATCGGTGCATTGGCACTCAAGCCATCACGCGGTCCACTTGTGTCTGCATGCACCCCGGATGGCCGGTGTGGTGGCAGTCGAGGCACCGGGGGATCCTCGTCAGCCTCATAGCGTGGGGGTGGCCGGCTAGGATGTGGAGATGAAGTAGGGCGTGGAGGCTGCGTAGGACGTGGAAGTTGATTCGGCCGTTCAGGCCGACTTGGAGGAGTGGGAACGGGCGGTCTGGACCCGGGTAGTTTGGAGGTCAATCGGGCAGACAGGCTCCCAAAGCTCCTCTTGCTACTAATCGTATGCCGCGGGGGCGGTTCCAAACTAGCTTGCTCCTTTGGTCGGCGGGGAGGCAGTGCAGGCAGTTCTGTCTCGCCCCAAGCGGGAGCTTTTATGCGATTGTTCCCAGTAGAGTTCAACGAAGTTGTTGATGCGCCTCGGCCCGCAGTTGTGGCTGTTGGGGTTGTCGAATATGCCGCATTAGATGTGACCGACTCAAGAGAGGGCCGGCGCTTTTGATCCGTCGGTCGACGCGGTGGTAGCGCGGGACGAGCTGGTGTGGGGGGAGGCAGGCGATCTGATCTTCGCGTGGGCAATGGCGGAGGGGCTTTTGGCTTTGGTTTCACTTGAGGCCGGAGAGTTTCGATTGGAGGCGGTCGCAGGATAGGCCTCTGGGTTTTATTGTCTGCGGGCTCATTTCCGACAGATGCTCGATCAACCACAGAGCCGACTGCATCGTATGAGGGAGGGTTGTTGGCTGACGCGCTCCGTTCGGGGCTCGGGCGGAGTGGTGGTCCAGGGCCTCCTGGTGGGCGGGCCAGTTGCGACTGGTTGAGGGCGGCGATTCGTTGCTGGATAGAATTCAACTGGGGGTCTTCGGTCATGATGCTTGAACCTATTTTTGACGGGAAAGTCGAGATGTGTCTAGAAGAATTCGACAGCTCGAGCTTAGGTACCTGTCCTTGGCTTGGCTGGGGGGGCAAAGTAGCCTTGTTAGGCTCTTTGAAAGACTTCGACGATTGCAAAGATGAACTAATGCAAATGACTGGTTCTAGCTACCACAATCCTGAATAGACGGGAAAAGACCAGTTTAGAAGAAAGAAAGAAAACAACAAGAGGCTCAACTAAAGAGGGGTCAGCCCTGGGGGGCAAGTACGGAGCACCCATGGGTCCAGATCTATATTTGGAACTTCAAGGTACAGAGTAAACAGTACTCCGTACGGAGTACACACAATTTAAATCTACAAGATAAGCCCCGGAAGAATTGAAAACAGAAGAGGGTTGAATGTGTTTCCAGAATATCACGATTCGGGACTCCTAAACGCCGTAAAGCCGGTGAAGCCCTTCATCTGGGACACAAAAAAAGGAACACTAGGTACGTCCAGAGATGAATCAAACCAATAAAAATGACAAGGAAAAGGTTAGCATTTAAAAATTAACAAGCCTCGAGCTCTCCGACTGAGCATGCAACCTGTTCAGAAGAGCTCGAGGCTGTGATACAGGCATAAGAAAGTTCAAGTACATCGTTGGAGAAAGGGAAGGGAAATTCACAAAGTGGTAAAGCCATGAAGGTAGAGGGCCAGCGTCAATCATCAGCAGCGTCACTTCGTCCGAATTTAAATCATCGTTAGGAAAAACGGGCAATTCTTAGACATTCTTGTAGAGGAGCAGGGGCTCGCCAACATTCTCGATCTCCGGAATGGTGCACTTTAAATCGAATGCCTTGGCTAGAACGATCTTGAAGATCTGCAGTGAGTTAGTAGGTGTCCTATCAGACTTGGAAAAAAGAGTAACAGGAGATGAGCGGCTGCAACGTACCTTTTGCACATTGATGCTGTGGCTGGTGCTGCTGAAGATCAGACTAGCCTTCATCGCCTTGGCAAATCGCTTGGCCTGCAAATACATTAGTCGCTGCGGGGGGTATGTTTAAGCGAGGGCCACTACAGTACCTGAATAGAGATCTCCTCCTGATCCTCGCGGGGGAAGTTCACAAAGTGATCATATTTAGTGCCCACCAGGAAGGGAATGGCTGTCTTGTTGAAGCCACGTCCCTGACGGTACCACTCTTTAATGGAGTTCAATGTACTCTTGCGAGTGAGATCGAACATGAAAAGAATTGCAACGGCGTCATTACAGACAAGCGGTAGCATATTAACAAACTCGCGCTGGCCACCGAGATCCCAAATTGAGAAGGTGATTTCAGTGTTGCGAATCGAGATTGTCTTTTCCATAAAGTTGACACCTAGAAGTTACTTTGGTCAGAAAAACCAGAGCTATTGGACGGACAATTCAACCTACCCAACGTTTGGATGTAATCCTCATCCCAGCTGCCCTCGACGTACTTGACCATCAAACTGGTCTTTCCAATCTGCGCATCGCCTACCATACCAACTTTAATCACCACACTGTTCTTGCTGGCCTGGGAGGCTTGGCGCTGACTGGCGTCCTGTTGCTGTAACTGGGAAACCCCGGTGGCGCGTTCTGGTCCACTAGAGAGTCCCGATCCGGGCCTGGAGTTGGGAACAGGTAGAGGGTGGTGGTTGAGCAACGGAGATGAGTTCTGGCGGGATTGGTCAGTGTCTTGGGCGGCGTATTCAAGACCAGATTGATGAAAGTCAGTCGATCGGGAGTGGTAATGCGCTTTCGAGTCGCTGTTATAGCCATTGTGGATGGCGGCACGGCTAATTGTGTGGTCGGAAGCCAGCTCTTCAGTATGGGCCATGACAGGTGCAGACTGCCCCAATGGTTGGTTCACAGGCTGCTCGGGTGAAGAGTCCTGTCCCTGTCCGTATGCTTGCTCCTGCGCCTGTTGCGTCTGATCCTCTGGGGCAATCTGCTCGGATTCTGCAAGGACAGAAGCAGCAGGCGCTTCCACCTCAGGAGCAACAAGAGACTCCAACTTAGACTTAGGGGACTCCATGGCGTTTCACGATCCGTGTTGTGGAATTCAGAAACGCAATCTGTCAAGCGAGTTCTAATGATCAGCATCTACGTGGAAAGTGGAGAGTTTCGGGATGTGACTAACCAGTATCACAAAGGGCTAAAATTCCAGCGCAATCTAGCGATACTGCATATGTATTGACCCAAGGGATTAATTTAGGAAAATCGAAAAAGCCGAGAGGGCGATTGATTCCCGGGAGTTCAAGCGGACAAGGGTGGTCACAGAGTAAACAGACCGAATTGGGGGGTGATGAAAATCCGAAGCGAAGCAAACAAACGTAGGAAGTAGGCTGGAAATGAATGTCAAGTATGTAATTCCTTTGAAACAGCGGGGCCCAGGCACATAAATAAGAACGTCAGGACTCTCCGGTACCTTCAGCTCGAGGGCGGGCAATTCGAATCTAGCGCTAGTCCACGATAGGTTTAGCGTCACTCCCACGCTGTTGCCAAAATTTACAAAAAAAAAAGTTCTTATCGCACATCCCCCTCCTCGGTCTCGACACTCTTTTAATTAGCAACTTTTCAAAGATTTCAAGATGTCTAAGAGAAGTGCAGAAGTGGATGAGAATCCCGCCGCTCTCAAGGCTGGCGAGCGACCAATTGCAGATGTCCCAATGGACGAGGCGGGGGAGTTCGAAGACGAGTTCGAGGATGAATTCGAGAGTGAAGACGAGATCCTAGAGGCCGGAGTGGATGGTCGACCAGATGCTGAGCGCGAGGAAGAAGAGAAGGGTGCGGACTCTTCTTGGATTCTTTTAAATCTGTTTAAGTGAACTGACCGTGTTGAAATCTTATAGCAGCTATGGATGTCGACAAGGAGACTTTCATTCCTGGGCGAACAAAACTGGCCCCCGGAGAGACACTATCACCCGATCCCTCCACTTACGATATGCTTCACACACTCAGCACACCATGGCCATGCCTTTCCTTCGACATTGTGCGCGATTCACTCGGTGATAACCGTAAGACCTACCCCGCCACTGTCTACGCCGTTACCGGTACACAAGCCGAGGGCTCCAAATCCAAGGACAACGAACTCATGGTGCTCAAGATGAGCAGCCTGAGCAAGATGGAGAAGGACGGTGAGGACTCAGACAGCGACTCGGACGACGACGACATGGGCGAGCCCATTCTTGAGCACAAGTCGATCCCGCTTGGCTCAACGACAAATCGCATCCGTACCCACCAGACCCCCTCCCAGTCCGGTGATTACTCCAAACCCCCGCAGACCCTTACCGCGACCTGGCTCGAGAACTCGCAAGTTGTTATTCACGATGTTACCGCCCACCTTTCCAGCTTCGATGTTCCCGGCACTATTCTTCCCCCTTCGGCATCTAAGCCTCTTTCCACCCTGCGCATGCACAAGACCGAAGGATATGCGTTGGACTGGTCTCCTCTCCAGCCTCTTGGAAAGCTATTGACCGGTGACAACAACGGATTGATCTACGCTACCACTCGCACTGAAGGCGGCGGCTGGGTTACCGACAACCGGCCCTTCACAGGCCACGCTTCCTCGATTGAGGAATTGCAGTGGTCTCCAAACGAGCGCAATGTGTTTGCATCCGCTAGCAGCGACGGTAGCGTTAAGGTTTGGGATGTGCGATCCAAGTCGCGCAAGCCCGCCGTGGATGTCCAGGTCTCCAACACCGACGTGAACGTTATGAGCTGGTCTAACCAGACAGCTCACCTTTTGGCCACTGGTGCCGATGATGGACAGTGGGCAGTCTGGGATCTGCGTCACTGGAAACCCAATGCCGCGGCGCCTTCCGCTCAGGTCACTTCTACCCCCGTTGCATCCTTCGACTTCCACAAGGAGCCCATTACTACTATCGAATGGCACCCCTCAGATGATAGTGTGGTGGCTGTTGGCTCCGCAGACAACACTGTCACACTTTGGGATCTTGCTGTCGAGCTGGACGACGAAGAAAGCCGCCAGGCCAACATGGCGGACATTCCTTCGCAACTGCTGTTCGTGCATTACATGGAGTCTGTCAAGGAACTCCACTGGCAGGCACAGATGCCTGGTACGCTCATGGCGACCGGCAGCAATGGATTCAGGTACGTAATATCTTTCCGATAAGAAGTCATGAAGCAAGCTAACCCGATCCGTTTTACAGTGTTTTCAAGACGATCAGTGTCTAAACGAAGAAAATGACTCCACGCTCCGACTGACTCGGGAATATCATGTGCCATGTCTTGCTCATATACCATTCGAATTATATGGATTTTTTGCTCCTCAATATCATTATGCTCGGAGTTAGACCCTTTCCTTCGCATGGTTAGGGTGGGTGAACCAACCCGATTTTGTCGTTACAGCTGGCACAGTAAATAGATATCTTTCGGCGACATCTTGGGTTAGTAGTCCATCGCATACATGCGTCACTGAGGTTGATCGACATTCTGGGCTAGATAATCCTTCGCAGTATACGGTGGAATCAGGTCCAGGCAATTCCGTGACTTCTGGGAGGGAAGAGGCAATCTACACTGCAAAATCCCAGCAGCGGGAAAACAATACACTATGAAATGCTCCGCACATGAGCCCTCCTTCCACGAATTTACTCAAGCACGTCAACTGCTATGCTCGCCTATTCAACACATAGAATGTACAAGGCGTTAGCAGGGAAAGCCTGCACCTAAGCAAAGTCACTGCGCAGGAGAGACCGTTCCAGATCCCTTATGCGCCATTATGCGCCATTAAATACTCCGTACGGAGTACCTATACCTACATATGCAGCCTGTTGTATGTGATATGACCTCGTGCACAGCACATGTACTCCGTAGCTTTCAGCGCTGCGAATTGGTCTGGGGCCGAGTCGGGTGCGACGATTGGACCAGTCGGGTCAATGGCGAGTGCATGAAGTAGCCGCGAATCGATCTCTTTGTTGATAGGTTTTACGTGCAAATCAAATCGATGGCTTTGGGAAATATGGATTAAATAAGTGGTCTTCCGTACAGTCCTTCGTACTCGTTTTAGTCTTGAGACGTTGTTGGAAGATCGACTCTGGCTGTGCATTGTGGCGATATGGGATGTTTGGTGTCCATGCGAAAAGACCCACTCAATGTTGCTTTGCTATATTGGACATGTTAAATTGGATATTGTAATGCCAATGAGCATGGAGACGGTGGAGTGGGTTGACGCTCCAGGTATGACATGCATGAATTCGAATGGAGACTGTTGAGCGCATTTCCATGTCAGACAGTTTTGACTGTTGTGCTTGTGTTGCTCGGCTCTAGACATCAGAATCCAGAAATGTATTGGCGGTGGCTACATCTCGATAGAGGTCATCTCTCGAGAAGTGCCTAGCAGTAGTGTATAAAATATATAACTCCGAAGCTGACTGCATAACACGCATGGTACCTCACGCTAGAACATCAATCGATCTGATCTACCGGCCAAGTCTGCTCCTGTCCAATCCAGAAAAGAGCACGTTCAGTTCTTCGTCATCGTGTCTGCCATAAATACCGCTAATGCACGTCTCGGTCAATCACATCAGATCGAATTAGTCTCACGTTTTACAAGAGCAGAAACCGAAAACAGGCTAAACTAGTTCAACTTTCGACCTCGGCTGTGCTCCGGTCTAATGCTCTCTCCGAAATCAACAGGTTCCTTTTTTTTTAACCAAAAAAAAAAAAAATACGGGGGAGAGCGGACCATTCTATCGGTAATTTCATGCAAAGTACAACATACAACATACGGAGGACGGACTGAAAGAACATACGACTCCAACTCTACACATGCATCCTATCTTGCTACAACATGCCATAATATCCAACATTCGATGTATTCCGTCCCTACTGGATTCTCCTAAATATAAACATCTCTCATGTCTGATCTAAGCACTGGTTCAACTCCCAAACTCGCCACAGATGCTCTTTTTTTTTTTCCCTTGAAAAGCACTGTTCCTGGGTAGGTCCAAACACACGCCTGTACAAATGACAGTATGATCCGACCTTATACCCACCCTAAACTTCGATCACCCAGCTTGAGCCTGTCCATGCGCAGGGAAATTCATTCCCGACTATTGCGACTCATAACTGGTGCGATCTGCATCCGATGTAGCATTGATACTCCGTACTAGCCTGAGACATAACGTTAGTCCGGAGCACAAAATATTGCATAACCACTCTGCTGTACTCCGTACTAGCTGGAAGGTCTTAAAAAAAGATTTCTGGAGTCAAAGTACACGCCATATCAGCTTGTGCTATGGACCCCATACGTTGTCTAGACACACGGCCGAGAACTGCAAATGGAGAATATTCCACCCTGTACATACTCCAAACGTAATTACCACTTGTATTACTCCATGGTAGCGTGCGGGAGCTCCACTAGTCTCCGTATCTTCCGCTCTCCACTTCACTGCGATGGATTATTTATTGCTTGGATTGCGATTGCGCGGTTCCAAAAAAAAACTCCTGTGGTTGGCCAGATCGTGTGCGACATTGGACGTCTGGGATTCTCGCCTGGATCCTTTCTTTTGGTCAACCGTTATTCACGCCTTCCTCTCGATGCTGATCATGTGCTGTCACCCCACGTATTTTTGCCGATCTGGAAATGACGTGGGAGGACTTAGCGTAGTGCCTTTAATTTAAACAAATTTTCTTTTTGGTTTAAATTTTTTTTTTTTTAAAAAAAAGCATCTGAAAAGTGACAAATAGTATCGGTCCGACTTGGACCTGTCATGACGCATGGAACGAGACAACTCAGAGCCGTACATTGTAGGAGATTGAAGTCACGTGGGAGGCAAAATGATCATCTAGGTACACCGGTCTGATTCTTCAGGCTAATCTGATTCCATCGAGATCAATCGGGAAGGGGACCTACAATGCATGCACGTCCAGACGGTTACGGTCCAAGCGAGTGACACCTTATCTCAGTCCGTACTCCGTACAACAGAGGGTATTCTTCACAGATAACAGACTACAGAAAAGGGTAATGATACCCGATACCCCGATAGGGACCAAATCAGAAAACAAAGGCAC